CCGCCGACGCGGGGGGCGTTGAGGCGGAGGGCCTGGGAGGCGGCGAGGAGGCGGTGGCCCTTGGGAGCGTTGTAGAGACCCTTGAGGAAGTGGAAGGCGGACCCCCGCGCGGCTCTTGTCATGTCGCGAGAAGAAGGCAATGTCAACAACAACAACAACAATGCTCCTTCTTCCGCGGCACCCATCTACCCTCCACCTATGACCGAGGACCACAACAACAGTAGCAGCAGCGGCAACAACAACAACAAGTAACCTCAACTTGGATTCAAGGTTGGTGTATCTCAACCTCGGCACCACCGCTCCAATGAGTTCCAGGTTGGACAGTGGTGAGGACGAGGAGAGAAGCCATGAAATGTAGCAGTAATTAAACCTATATATTACTGCTCCTATTTATTATATATTGCGCGGAGAAGGAGGGTGTCGGGTGAGGGGAAGGGGGTGCGGGGAAGGGGGTGCGGGGAAGAGGGTGCAGGGGAAAGGGGGTGTAAATTTAGAAATTTTTTTTAAGGATAATATAGACATTTTATATTTTTTTTTTAAAAAGGAGGTGTATTTATATGAGAGTGGAGGTGTGTTTATCATTTGCCTATTCCAAATTATGTTATTAAAAATAAAATAAAACGAGACAAGATTTGAGCCCTAGTCTTATCCACGCCCAATACTCTAAACTTGGGGCAGTGGGCCACATCCAACTTTCTCATGTCGTTATACATGAAGAATAAAAAAAACAAAAAAAAAATATAAAAACTTAAAAAAGGGAACCTTGTCTCTTTGTACTGATGAGTGATGGGAAGAAGAAGGGGAACTTCGAGCTTACCGGGTTCCACCTTCTTCCTTTTATTTTTTTTCTCTCCCTTTTTTAGTGAAATTGAGATAAGAGAAGTTAAAAGTTGAATTTTTGTATTTAGTCCAAATCTTTAATGTTGTAATTATAACAAATTTTATGAATAAATTTCATCAATTATATTATATACTTAGTTTAAATAATGTAACAATTACAATCGGTTAGACAAATATTACCTATTTTATATTGATAATTACAAAAATTTAAATTTAATTATTTATAATTATATGTTTGAGTCCTTAGTTGATCGTGTTTACTGAAGTAATCTCTAACCGACAAGATTCAGTGACACTAGTCGACCAAGTTCTTATATCACTACTAGAAGAATTGATTGGTATCAACGATTTCTCAATAATGAACAAGACAAAATATTAAAATATATAAAATTATACATGATAATAATTATAATTATAGTTATTTTATTTGTTGGATTATCAATAATAATAAGTAACATTTTGTGATTTATGAGATAAGGACAAGAAATAAAGAAATAAAGAATTAATCTTTGTAAGGAGATCATATACTTTAAATATTTTGGCTGAATTGCAACTAAATTTCTTTATAGAACATTTGTCACTTCAGAACAATATTAAATTTAATTATCAATCTCTTCTCAACTAGCCTAGCATGTCACCAACATTTTGTCTAGATAGTGTTGGATTTGGAGTGTTTTACTGTCTTCCCATTTTACACAATTTGTTATAAGGAAAAAAAATCTTCACATTTTATTTGATTAAAAAATAACGTTGAGAGATAGCCAATTAAGTTCTTAAAAGAGACTAATTTCAAATAAAATCAAAAAATAATCCTACCATTATTATGCATTTCTTTTCCTACTGTTTTATGCATGTTCTCAACTTGAAAAAAATTGACAATTTGACATAGACACGAAAGTGCCTATATCTTTTTCCAATATTTGATTGGTGGATGGAGAGACTGGTGGCAATGTGGTTTTGCGTAAATAGAGAATTTAGTTCAAAGACGCAAAATATGTTCCACCACATAACACTCCTCTAGAAGATAAGAACCATTCATCCAGTGATGGAATTTTGAAAATGACGTTTGACACAGACATGAACGTTAACGAATTGACTTGTCTTGGACACGAACATTAACGATTTCAAAATGTAGAATTGGATAAACAAACGGCGTAATTGAAACAGTAAAAATGCTACTTTATTTGTTGATGTCGATCTGTGCTGGCAACACAACCTTTTATTTTACTAATGATGTTACATTCATCAGAAAAATATAATATATCCAAATTTCAACCGACTTGCTCCTCTAATAGATAATTACAACGAGTCACCTTGATATATAAAAGTTGGATTTGGCTTCTGATCTCATTTTTCACTATTCATTTTTCAATTAATAATTGTAACTGCATTGTATTTTTTAAAACATTTTTTAGCTTTAGGTTATACATGATAAAAATAGATGGAAATATAGTTATATTTTAAAAAAAAATTAGTTAAAATCGGTACCCTAATAAAATAGAATTATGTGACAAAACTAACCTTTGAATAAATCGCTAAATAAAAT